AAAGGCGGTGGCAGTAGTAGAATTACTTGCCTGAGTAGTTTCCATCTGGGAAAGAAGTACACTTAGAACTCAGACAGAGGGTTTGTGAGGGTGGAATCACAGACTGGAATGAATGCTGATGATAGAAATCTTTCCTCGTGTTTTCTTTTTGCTATTGAATTTTATATTAGTTTATAAAACATTTCCCTCAATTTATCAGTAAATTCCATTTTGCATATTTTAATAATGCCTTCACTTTAAAAAAATAAAAAATTGATCTGTTTCATCAGTGTTAAAATAAATGTTAGTTAAATGTTAATTTATATACTGATATTTCCAAATGGAAGCAGCTGATCAAAAAGAAGGAAAAGTGATACTTCTAAAATTAATTAGCTACCAAAAATATTGAAAAGTAAACTATGTTTTTAGCAAGTTTAATGTTTAAATGAAGTAAGATTAGGATGAGGGTAGTGTCTGCCTGCCTTTTGTTTCATAGTTATGCTTTGTAGTTTGTAGGTTAGATGATGCAACACTGCCCTCTTGTGTAATGTACCAACTTATATTTTATGCACAGAATACAACCAATATCTTAACTAAATTACATTTCCCTGCATCTTCTAACTAGTTACATCATACTTATGGATCAGTTTTTGAAAGCTTTAATACTATGTTGAGATTTGGTAACAAAATGTTAATGTGTCAGATAAGTCAATTACATTATTGCTGTCTTTTATTGTCAATAAAGAGGATCAATGCAGTACACATTTGAGAATTTAATGCATGCTGAATTTTATCTATAACTTTTAGTTACTGACAACTCTCACTTTTCCTAAAATGCACTTATATCTGCTTTGTATTATATGAAATAATTCCCTTTTGCCTGTGTGTGTCTTTTTTTTTACAAGCATGCCTTTCATATAATGATAGAGGTAAGATGCACTGTTTTATTTGTAGTCATACATTTGTGGAGTTACAAATTACCTATAGGAGTAACATTTGGAAAAACATGTGTATTTGTATCCAAAAATATTGGATTCTTCATTTGTTGAATTTTCTACAATGTAACATGTCAATATAGCAGTATAGCAAACATTGTGATATTGCATTAGCTTGACTGGAAAAATCTAATACAGTGCCTAGTATATTCATATGATGCTGGACTTCATATAAACAATTTGACATAAAAAACTTCATAGCCATCATGGGATATCTGCTAAGATGAAGAATCTGCATATGCAAGAGAAAAATGTTTTTTACATTTTGTTTTGGAAATTTGAATGGTGTTTCAAAATCAGTATTCCCCTTCTCAAAATATAAAGCATTTGTAAGATTCAGAGAGAACCTGAGAATATCAGGGGATATTAATAGCAAGCCTGCATGCTCTATCAGTCTATTTTTGAGAGTTTCCTTAAAATCAGAAGTGATAGACATGGTAGAGTTCATTTTAGGAACCAGATCTTGAAGACCCACTACATACGTGGAGTTCATCAGGCAGTGTGTAATGAAAAAGTAACTTTGTAGCCAACCCTCACATTTATAACCGTTGCAGATATGTAAAGCAAAGGAAAATTGAAGTTAAAATTTGATATTTCACATAGCAACTGCTTCAATTAGTGACTGGGACACCAGGGTAATTGGTACAGAAGGCTGTAAGTTGCTCCAGTAAGTTACCTGGCAGTAGCCATCTTGTGCCACACAAGCCAGCCATGAACCTGGCAGGAGCCAGCCCTGCTGTGCTATTCCTGCCAGCTTGCTTGCTACCTAGCTGCCTGAGACTTTCTAAACACCCCATGACACTCACTTAACAATGGAAATTCCAGCCCCAATTACCATTGTTAATCAAGGGCTACTTGTATAAGCAATACTGTAGCATGCTTAGGAGAAAAATACAAAAGGAGGCAAAGTTTGATTAGATAGCTTGTATAAAAGCAAAAGAAAAGAAAAGTGGCACTCTTCCAGTGAATATGAGAAGCAAAATATAATCTTATCCCTTGCTTATGGTTGAGAACTAATGAAAATACACACTTTTTGATCCCTTTCCTGTGTATGGTAAAGATGAATCTTCGTAATATTTTTATTATTTTGCATGATGGATCCACATAGATTAAAAAGTGATTCCTTTGTTGCAAACTTTATTATGTCATTATAAAACTATTTATCACTTCTTTTGATCTGTTCTTCCAATCCATCTATTGTTACACCACAACATATCTATAAAATTTCTCGGTAAGAAAGATTTCTCATTGTATTTTCAAGCAAGAAATGTAGAACTATGTATCTTTAGAATAATTTATTTGTTACAAAGGGAAACATATCATTCTGTAATTATATCTAATTAGTGTATAGTCAGTTTATATCATAACTGAGGCCAGTTCATCATAGTTCATTTCATGTATACCAAAATATTGACTCTTTTTACATCGTACACGTCACTTAGTATTGATGAAAGTAGATTAAGTATTGAGGACCAGGTAATACAATCACACATAAGTATCTTTGAGGTCCCAATCAGCATTGCCATAATAGATGACTTTAAACCTTTCTTATAATGCTTATAATAAATGCTAATAAAGATAAGTAGTTCCTAACTATAAAAACTGATTTCCCCATCTTTCAAGTGATATTTGGTCAGTAACTGGGTTGGTAAAGTAGGAATGGATCCTCAAGAATTCTGTATATGTGCAGGAAATAACCACAGGCTGCACGAAGCATATAGATTTTCTATACAAGAATTATAATTCCATTAAAAATAGAACATTTAATAACCCTTTTTACAGTTTCTTCATTTAGGTATTTTTCATAAAATTTTAGTAGATATATGTTGCAGAAACTGTTTTTTATTGACCATATGTAGAGACTAAAGATATTGGATCAGTTTAAAGAAATTTTCTTCCTTCCATATTTTGTTTGCATGCGTTTGTTTGGAATCATATAATTTAAGTGTTAGATTTACTCATTTTTACTGAAAAAAGTTGAAAATTAATTAAAAAATTGTGAAACAGTAACACTTTTGTTTGCATTCTAGTAAGATTTGTTGATGTAATTTGCTTCCTAAATTGTTGTCTTCGAATTGGTGAATGAGATTATACTAAAAAAATGAACTTATGTT